ATGAGGCAGCTCATGGATAATCTAATTAGCTGCCTGAGGCATGATATCATTAGGGTAAACAGACTGCATCATAGCTGGATCGGGTATAGACTACCCGTTCCGGGAGGCTTGGCAGACCCCAACAAAACAAGACCCTAATGAAATCAGACCCGGACCAGTCAGACCACATATAATACGGCAGGGGGAATCGGAACAGGATAGAAAATTAGAGAAAAAAATAAGAAAAATTCAGATCCCAAAATCATACTGATTGACCCAGAAATGAAGGACTTTGGGGGAGGGTATGTAAAAACCCTGTACCCTCCCCCCCCCGGTGGGGCCCACCGCGGGCCATCCGCCACTCAGCGGCCGCCCTGGGACCCGACCCACCCGTACCCTGGGGGAGGGTACGGTCGAACCTATAAGTAGGGTGATGTTGGTGGGGACGATGGGGGTTCGTGTTCGTCCTCCACCCCGCTGCCGTACGCGGAATCGGCCTCGATATCGTCCACGGCCGCGGCACTGCGTAATGTCCATTCAGCGCAATTCTGCGGCTTCTGCCATGTCTCGATGATCGCCATCACATCGGGATCCAGCCACAATGTCTTCTGGACAATCATGAACCGGGCGATCTTGATCACCCGGGACAAAATTGGCGAATAGCTCTCAGGATCCCGCCAGCTGAACTCCCCCCGGTCCAGCACGGCCATGGCGCATATCAGCACACTCTTATACTTCTGGGCATGGTATATCTAGTTCATCAGCTTAATGCAAAACTCTAAACATGCCTACTCTATATCACTCATTATCCACTGCTTGCGCTTGGGATTGCCCTCCCCGGAATCTCTCTCCTGCTCCTCCCTCTCTATAGAGAAACCTGCGGTAGCTATCTACCACAGCTGCCGCTATTTCTTCCGCTGTCGCGGTATTATTCCATACAGTAGACTCTTCTCCATACACGGCACCTGGGTGCAGGCAATGAACGCTAATATTTGCTGCCATGGCTGGACATACTTGGCCACGCTGTCCGCATCCATATATACCAGCAACAGACAATACGGGGTCTGGCCCTTCTCAGACCGCACGGCTTCAATCCGGATAGCTTGCCCGGTATGCTACATGGTCCACTGGCTCTTGCGCACCATGCCTTCCATGGCCGCCCATATCCGCCGCACGCCCTGCTCCACGGGGTTGTCTGTATCAGGCAACAGGATGGCCACCATGGCGCGTAATATCTTGAAATCGCTGGGGGTAGTAAACTCCTGCAAATACTGGGTCCACCCGGTTACCTATAACCATAAGTTGGCATCGCGGATCTCTCCGGTCCCGGTTAAACTGGTCTAGATCTTCATCGCCTCCCATGTCTCGGTGATTTGCTGGATTGCCTGGTTCACCTGCTCTGTATGCACAGGAATGTACAGTTCTTCCTCATGGCCCCCGCGCATATAGATATAATAGGATCCTCTCCATAATAGGAATATCTGCTGGCATATCATAATCATATATAATTACCGGAGCTCTGTGTCCTGCTGTATCCATTTCTCCCGTGTCACCCGTCCGCCCCGTGCATACCGGGACCATCCATGGACCAACTGCCAGTGGGCACATATACTATACAAGCTGCGCCCGATATACTGACATTGGGAGTAATCACAGTGATATAATAATCCATCAGGATAGACAGGTAATCCGGGCCATGGCTAATCAATCTGGTAGGGAATCTCAATATCCTCCATGTACTGGACAATATTATTCCACTGCTAAACAGTTTTCTGGATCTGGACAGTCTCCGCATGTTTCTTGCTGTGGACACTGCTTTTCAAATGCTATATAATCTTATTTGGCTATATACTATGCTGGCATGTTTTATAAATAATCACAGGCAATCCGTTAAGCTTCTGAAATATAGGATATTCCATGGGGAATCTCAAAATGTATACTATATGGGAATGGATGATAGAAGATAAAAGCAAAATGAGCTGGGAAATATACCACATAGTATATATAGCTTAATACTGGATATTATTACCCCTGACTCAATACGGGACACAGTTGACTGGTTATCTTGGAATACAGAATATAAAATAACAGATACATGGGTCTTATCCAGAAAATAACAATTTGGGATTTACTAGGCTAACTAGTAAATAAATACTATATTAAATTTATAATTCTCTTGCTAAATAAACTAAATCTGGAAATAAAAATAGAATTAAGTATATATCTATTATACAGGACTGGATATAACTTTTAGTAGATAATTGATTAATAGTAACCTTTCGCTGGTCAGGGCTTACCCCAATAAACCCTGAGCAGGATATTATGGCCAACTTGTAATCCGCATTACCACCCCAAATGGATGAATTTCGTTCTCTGAAATCACACAGTAAAAATAACAGCAGTTATAAATAATCTGGCAAAATTTGGGCTTCATTAGATTAAAGATAGTCTTTGATACCTATATTTATTATTTCGCTGATACCTACATAAACCCTAAATATGGCGGCTTATCAGCACCCACCTATTATGATATCTACAACATTATCACAACCACTAGTGGACTAGGTAATATTGTATCCTCCCAGTAACTGGAAAAAATTTAAAGCTAACTGGCCAACAATTCATTGCTGATATATATATTTAATGTTTTGCTAATATATACATAAACCCTGAATATGACCGCTTATCAGTACCCGTCTTTTGTGATAAGCATGACAATATCACCCATACCTGTGGGCTAGACTACGCGGCGCTGCTTCAGCAGTGGCATTGGAATGGGGGTTGTATTCTCCTGCCGCGGACGTTTACGCACTGCGACAGCAGATACACTAGCCTAGAGAGTGGGTCCGGGACTCAGTATCACGGCCAGCTCTCCCAGGTAATTCCAGTTATAGACACGCTTGACCGCCTGCCGGCGAGATACAGTCTCCTCCATCTGCTGGCAAAAGCGGCCCGCCGCAAGGGTCTCTGCCGGATGGGCCAGGTAGGCCTGGAGAGTATCCCAGATCCGGGTGACATGCTCCCGCTTATACTGGTTAAGCCGGAGGCTGAGGATGTCCCACCACTCTTGATCAGTCAGAGAAGCCCCGCGCACTATCCAGGCCAGGTACTACTACCACACGCGGTGATAGTGTTAGAGAGTAATTAGCTGCTAGCAGTCCAGCTCCATCGCACTTAAGCAGGTATGGGACAAGCTGCGGAAGAGGCAACAGATAGATAGATAGATAGATGCCAAGGTATCCAGAGCTCGGTTAAGAACCCGGTTAAAGAATACAATGACCAGGTCTAAAATGTTAACTGATATCTGCTGGATATTCCTCACTGGCTTACTGGGGTCCGACTCTCCATTGCTGCATGGTACTCCAGGCCAGAAGCATTATAGACCCGGGTGGCTTTGCGGCCAGCTAGGAGCGGGAGTAGATACCTCTGCCAATACCTGGAGATAGTGACCATCCAGGAATCGAAGCCAGTCGGTTTACACCAGCCACAGAGTCACATCATCCTGTATATAACAGGCCTGGAAAATAAATTGTTGATGATCCAGGCTGGGCTGCTGTGCCTCTTGCACAGACTTCTCTCGCTGGATTCCACGAGTCTCCAGGTACTAAATTCTGCGAATCCACGCGACTGGGTGTTGCAGCGGTGTGGGGGCCGGTAGGACTATGGATACCATAGGCTCTGCTCTGGAGGGCTTTGGGACCAGGCATCGCAGCAGTCAGGCCGGTGATTCAGTCTGTCAGATAACCAGACTTGCTTCTATGCAGAAAAACGTGAGCGCAATTTATGGTAAGCTGGGCAGGAAGAGACAAGGTATATACCGGTTACTGGATCTAGATTAAGAGAATTAATCCCAGGCTTATCTATTGCGAATGTATCAGCAACTGGGAAGGACTGCGGATCGTCTGGAGAGGCCTCCTGGACTAGTTAAGGGGAATCCAACGGTATAGTAATCCAGAAGCGCAGGTACTGGCTAGATTAGAACCAGGACTGGCCTTGCACGCGGCGAGAGGTCTATAGCAGGCTGTTAGCATAATATACAGTAATCTAGTATTGTTAACTTATCTGGCGAGACCGGGTGAGGTGCCCGCAGTGACTGCATTCCCAGAGATCATGAAGTTCAAGCTCCGGGATCACGGTGGAGCTATTAGGAAGAGACAAGAACTCATTATGGCTAGATTGGGAAGTAATATTACAAGGGATCGGGCGTAGGTAACACGCTCGATCAGCAATTGTCTGTAGCTGGTAAATATCAGAAAGATAATGCTCTTTCAGCTGTCCAGCAAGGGCCACTTTACATTTAATATACACAATATAATTATACTCTCTTAGATATGTCAGTAAAGACAGTGAATTCCTGCTAGAGAAACGGGAAACACTTCTGCTGGATACCATAACAATATTAACCTTAAACAGTAGTGTAGTAGAAAAGATAGATCAGTGGATTCTACTCTCTCTACAGTATACGTAGCCTGTAAGAAAGAATTGGGTGAGACTGTCAGACAAGGAGCAGAATTTTCAGAGACTGAATCTCAGTATAGAGATTGGCCTTGAGGACTATCAGCAATATAGTTAATATATCACATTTTCTGGCTGCTGGATAATAGATATTGGCTCAGAGTGGGGCCGTTAGGAGAGGAGAAGGATCACTTAATATCATGGACTGTAGTCTGTTCTATAGTATAATAGACATGCAGTGATGGTTTAAGTCTTATCTACTATAATAGTATAATAATCGGCTGTCTGTTGGACAATAAATATATATTTATCTCTAGAGCCAAGTTTTCACTGCTAAGCTGGTAAAGAACTATGATATTGGTCTCTTGGATATATATGTATTTACTTTAGAAAACTCAAAATCTACTTACAAGTTGGCTAAGAGCATTGCTTGTACAGAATAGGCAATCACTACTGTTGACTAACTGTTTAGCTATTCTATATAACTTGCTAAGTTACTACAAGAGCCCTGATCTCTTTTATCCTACACTTCTTATATAGTATACTACTCACCAAGGAAATTAAGCCCAGCGATTTACTGGCAGAAGGATAATGTGTCGCGGGATTTGGGCTTGGGGGTTTAAGATCGCGTATCTCCAAACTGCATGTGATAAACAATACTGGGCAGGCTGATTGGAGAACATGACTTTAGACAAAATCAGAGAGAACAAGGTCATAACAAGACTCTAAGAAGAGTCTCAGAAAAGGGATTAGAATAAGAAAATCAATTAAACACTTAAATACTGGAAATGTATTCATTAAGGAGAGGATACTCTGCGCCGGTGATTTTATTAGGGTTACAGGAAATACCCTAATGGGACGCTGACTCATCTATGCAGTCTACAGGATTTGTATGGGAAAACGGGTATTACATAAGCGGCATACAACGTATGTAGACTGTGCGGGAAACTGCACCAGCCTACGTCTACGGTGTCCCGTATTCTACCCGCAATGGCCCGTAGAGTGTAGGGACAACCTATATATAGGTCTAAATCTATTCAACATAAATAGGCCTATATTTCCATCCATTCTACAGACTAGATTGATTTAGATTGATTCAGATTAATCAGATTAAAGCAGTTTAGTCAATCTCATTCTATTATTCTATAGTCATGCCTATCTAGTCAATTCATTCTATGGGTTTTACCCGATATCTATCTATCTATTATCTATCTTATCTCTTGATCAATTCCCCTGATCACATGCCTAAGGATATCTAGGCTATCAATACCCTAGATTTCCAACAGCTGGGCCTAACAAGTCTAAACTATACTATATATATTCTACAGTTTATTCTATATCTATTATTTTAGTAATATTTAACAATAAATACAAGGTTATTTCTTATTATTTTATCCAGGAAATAAGGGAAAGTGTAGAGTAGTATTATTATAATTAAATATAAAATATTTCAGTTTTAAAATAGGGATTTATCAGCTTTATAACTATTACTTGATTATCTAGAATAGAGTAGATTAGTAAATTTTATGCTAGTGTAGATATTTGTTGGATATCCAAGATATACTGTTGGACATCTAATGGATATCTACAGTTGGACTTGGATCTCATCCCGATATCCAACATCCGCAATTTGCGGACTTGGATGTGGTTCCTGTCAAGGATATCTACTATTCAGGGTAGAAGACCTGTCAACTAGGTAAGGATACGTAGGCTAGAAGGGAGAGAGGTCAAAGGCAGGCAGTAGATACTATTCAGACAGGAGATTGATTCTTGATCTCCTCCTACTACTAACTATTCGCTAATTTATAGCTGAAGACTCTGTACGTAAAGGGTTCAGATTTCCCGTTGAAAACCAAACCGTTGATGGCCTGATGTTCCTCATCGGTGGCCGATTGTCCATGCACCTGGGTCAGGGTATCCTGTACGGCCATCAGGCCGAATCACCATTCAATCTGTGACAGTTCCCACATCCAAGTCGTAT